ATTAAAGTACTGTGAAAGCCATTACGGCTTGAAAACCCCATAACTTTAATGGAGGCTATTATAAGCATAGTAGCAAAATCCCGGAGCTAATTACCAGGCGGTTATTAAGCAGAGTGAAGAACCCCCCAACCCTGGAGAGCACCAGCTGGCCAGCAGGGGGCAGGTGCGTGGGAAATGGCGGGGCTGCTCCCACCCCCAGATCTGCCTCCCAGTGAGAGATGGAGGCCCCCACCATGATGACTACTGTCCTCCGTGTCCACGCCCGTGACTTCCACCTGGGCTTGGAGGAAGGTGGTCACTGCCTGTGGTTGCAGGCTGTGTCCACCAGGGACCCCAGAGTGGCTTCTGGGCCCTGGTTGGGGGTGGGGGTGGAAGAATCAACATGAATTGGGGAAGGCTTAGCCCTGTGCAGGAGTGCAGGATAGGGGAGGAGGGGTGGTGGGGGAGAGGGTGTCTGGGGAGGAACTGAGTGGGGACCCAGGCACGGGACATAGGTGTGAGTGAGTGTGGGGGCCCAGGGCCTGCTGTGGATACAACTCCCCACCCTAACAGTCCTCCTTGTGTCTGTGACTGGCTTCGAGCCTCAGCTAGTGCAGACATGGGAGCCTTCGCCCCCTGGGGAGACAGAGACAGAGTGCATTGTGAGTGGGCTGTGAGCTGCCAGGTGGGGAGTAGTGGGCGGTGACAGGGAGCTCAAGCCGGGGCAGCAGCCCAGCCCGTCCCAGCCAGGCCTCCATGAATCCACGAGCATGTTGCTCGCCCTCCCTGGCCTCTGCCTTCATTTGTAAAGTGTACACGGTGGGTTGGGAGAGAGCTCTTGAACTCCGGTTCTGCCATTTTAGCAATTCTGCGAGACAGAACGAAAGTCCTGTGTGAGGACAGGGGGCTCAGTGGACATCTGGGGCCAGGGTCACAGCCAGGGGCCGTCAGGACAGCTTCCATGAAAGTGAATCGTGATTCCGGGGCCACTAAGCCCATGGAAACTGACCCTGCGTGGGAAGACCTATGTACAGGACCCTGTCTGTAGGCATTAGGGTGTCATGGGCTTCTGATGAGAACAGGATTGCCCGGGACTCGGCGCGGAAGGCTCTGATTGTCCAAGGCTGGGGCGAGTGGGACTGAGGACGCCCAGGCTGCCGAGGCTGGATCGGAGTCAAGCTGCTCGAGGCCGGCCAGTTCTAAATGTACGAGGGAATGGCTTTCCTCTGAGCTGCAGGTATTCGAACTAGACCTCCCGAGGCCCCACACCTCTGAAGAGGGGTCCATCCAATTCCATTTGGCAACCAGTAATTGAGAACCAGGAGCACGCAAGACACAGCGAGGCTTCCGCGTGACATGGAGCGGGGTGGGGGAGATTGCAGGTCGGGGGGAGAGTAGGGCTCCCCTGCAGTATCTCCAATCCGAGGGGAGGATACTTCACAGCTCATCCCCAAACAGGCGATCTGTGATGAGCAAGGATGCCTCAGTGTGTGCATGTGTATGCATGTGTGTGCACACGTGTGACCCGCCGGTGACAAACATGCTCAGAAACCACCCAGGTGGCTCATCTCTGGAGGATGACAAAAAGCCCTTTACTCAATATGACTTAGGACAGTACCTAGCTGCTTAGTCGGAAAGCCTGTTCCCCGGTAGGACCAGGACCAGGTGAAAAAGCCCATGAAAGTGCGGAATCTTTGGAACGCCCGTGTTCCACCCGCATCACCTTGGGAGTGAGGCAAGTTGTTCAACAGCTGTTTTCCGGAGATTGCACAACACGTGACGATGTTCGCCCAATCCCAACTGCCCATGCTGGTTGGCTTGGGCACTTCCATGCTATGACGCAGGGCCAGGGCTTTCTCCAGAGCTGAAAGTGCGCTGCTGGGAGGCCCGCAGTGACCTCTAACAGCAGCCTCACCACCGCTTCCGGCCGTGGCCTCTATGTTGATTTTTTCTTTCTTTTTGAAGAATTATTTATTTAATTAAATTTATCATTATTGTTTTTAATTTGCTACAGGACACGTGCACTCACCAGGGAGAGAGAAAAAGAGAGAATGAGAGAGAGGGAAAGTAAGAAAGCAAGCTGCCAGGTCTGGGATTTAAACTGCGGTTGACCATGTGCGAGTCCAACATCTTAACCACCACGCCACCTGCTGGCCCCCACGTTGATTTCTTTAAAGTGGTTCAAGGACTGGAAGACACTAGGGGAGCAACCTGAGTTCTGTGCCCCTAGAATTCTCATGGTTCAAGTCCTGGGCCTGGTGGCTTGCTTTCTCACTTTCCCGCTCTATCTCTTTCCGGTGAGCATAGGTGCCCTATAGCAAAATTAAAAAAAAAATAATAAATATAATAAAATTAATAATCCTCATGGCTGTCCCCTCCAGCCTTCACCTACTTTGGGGAACTTTACTCCAGGTTGACCTCATGGAGTCTTTGAGAGCCTTCGACTCTGTTTTGCAGGACCCGCCCGTGACTCCCCAGTGGTCAGTGGTCTGCATACTGCTCTGTGGTCATGAGCGGGACCCAGCCTGAGCAGGCTGGAGACGAATCCAGCCTGCTCTCTGGCCCGTGGCAAGCACGTACTGTGTCTGTGTGAGCAGAACGACACTGCACAGGCGCTGGTCAGGGTGCTTTATGGAGAACCCGAGGCAACAGTGAGCAAGCCCAGTGGACAGAGGAGCGACAGGTTAAGAAAGCTCCTGCTGTCGGTCTTC